GGGAGAGGAAGATAATCTGGTTGGGCTAGTATTTTATACTCTCAGGTGTTACTGACTTCTTAGGTGACCTTCAAGATGTTAGTACAGCTCTCTAATTGGAGATGCTATTTTCTGGGGATGTTAATATCCATTCTATTCACAAAATTGTAAGAAAAGTCAAGTAACATGTATGAAACGCTCCAAAGTTCTGCTTAAAACTAAAATATCTTAGTTGTCACTGAAGCCACAGATATTTTGTGAATGAGCATATTCCCAATAGGCAGTCCCTCTTAGCCTCGCAGTCCAAGCTGGCAACAGGATCACATCCCAGGGAATGAACAGAAAGGCTGGCAGGCAATCACACGACTGATATCTCAGGTGTGTGGGCCCCCCATTTTTTTGAGACAGAGTCTCACTCTGTCCCCCAGGCTGGAGTGCAGTGGTGCCATCTCTGCTCACTGAAACCTCCACCTCCCGGATTCAAGTGATTCTCCTGCCTCATCCTCCTGAGTAGCTGGGAGGGATTACAGGCACCCACCACCACACCCAGCTAATTTTTTTTGTATTTTTAGTAGAGATGGGGTTTCACCATGTTGGTCAGGCTGGTCTCAGCCTCCTGACCTCAGGTGATCCACCTGCCTCAGCCTCCCAAAGTACAGGGATTACAGGCGTGAGCCACGGCACCCGACCATGTGGGTCCTCTTTTAAACAGACGTCTCTTGGTGGAGACTACACTCTGCAACCAGTAAAAGCTCCATATGATTCCATCTGAATGTACTTCCATTGTTAATCTGGAACGTACCCCATTTTCTGGTCCAGTCTCGATGTTCCCCATTCAGAGGACCTGCACTTTCAATTATTCCTTCTGCTCTCCTCACCAGTGGCCATCTTCCACTACCCACCTTCTCCTCTTTCTTCTCCTTCCTGCTGCCTGCTGTCTCATCAAGCACCCTGTCTTGGTTTTTTGACCCGTCACTATACTCACGAAAGAGGAAGGCATTGTACTAGGGCAAATGATGGGGAGGCAGAGAGAACAGGAGAGTTAGGTAGGAACAGTGCTTCTGAAAAATCTCCTGATAACAGCATTCATTGTCCTTTTCACAGCTCAGGAGAAGCCTTGGTTAAAATGAGGGGGAAAAAATCAGTAGAATAAGTGGGTTCTTGTTGAGCCCCCAGTGCAAGAGGTTCCTATTCAAAGTTGGGTGTCTTTACCCATTAGGATGGCTTTTACCTGAACTTTCTGAGCTTCAGGCAGAACGCTCTGCATCTTCTAACCTAAGCAGTATCGTTCTTCCTCTTTTTTTTCACTTTTCAGTCATAGTAGATTAAGTGTCAGAGCTGGTTCATGAGAAGAAGGTGATGAGCAGGCATTGAAAAATTGAGAAAAATGTATATTTTTACCATGCCCAACACCATCGGCAAGGCAGTAAAGGGCACTGCCTCCCCCTCAGTTTCCTCCCTTGCTGTTTCGTTTCTGTGCCTCCAGTGCTCCGTTGCGACTTTCCTAGGAAATCCTCTGTGCTCTGTGCTGACATTGTATCCATAGGCCACTTCTTGCCATTCACATATGTAATTGAGAGAGTCGACTATACCCCAACTCTGAATTACATAGCTGCAATATAATCACTTGTTTTATTGATTATCTGAAATAATGTTTTAAAAATTCAGGATTGACTTCCATATGCCATGCAAGTCATTTCGCAGTTGGTTTCATTTATCCTTGGTTCCTTTGTGATAAATGGAACAGTTTAATTTTTCTTAAAATGACCACATGCTCTGTACTAAGTGCTTTATCTCTTCCATTTTCAAAACACCTTCACAAAACAGGTACTTACTAGATTATTCTCAAGTTATAGATAAGAAAACTGAGGCTTATAGAGGTTAAATGACAGGCCCAAGTCACTCAGCCAAGGAAATGGAATTCATATCTGACTCCTACATCTGTATAGGCCCAAATGGATCATTTTAAAGTGAAAGAACTTATATGACCTTCCCCTTGATGTTATAATTCAAGTATCCACTTTTTGCTTTGTGTCCCCTTCTGACAAATCAGACTTCTCATTCCTAACCGTAGGCCTAAACCTGGAAAGCCATCTCTGACCATTTATCTTCACTTTTTGTTTCTTTACCTGGAGAGCAACAATCAACAGAACTCATCCATTTTTTGTATAATATCTAAAACCATTTTGGGATTGCTGTAAGTAATAAACAAGAAAATCATGGGAAAAATTTTTTCTTAAAACACAATCATTCATTCCTGCTGAGTGACTGCGTTTCAAATTCATACAGAAGTGAAGGTTGTGAGCACCTCACTAATCTGAAAATATACCCCATTTAGTAAAACAGTTTGTGAAATACCTACACTGCACCATCACAGCACCTCAATAATTACAGACAGCACCTTCCTCTAAGGAGCTCCCAAGTGCTTTGCAAACATTTCTGTTTATTAAATAACATACCATTGTTCTGTGGCAGGGAAGGAACAGGATACTTTGTCTTATTTAAAATGTAGGACTGGTAATGCATTCAGTGACTAAGCAGGTTGCCCTCGGGTCATTCACTGACAAGGCCAGGACTAGAGTTCTCAGGGTTTGTGGTCCACCATGGACTGAGGACCGCTAAATCCACAAAGGACCATGTGGCAAGTGCCTGGTCCAGCTCCTCACATACGGAAAATGAAACAAACCCAGAGAGATGAAAACACTTAAAAAGCCCCGGATCACATGGGTAATTAATGGTAGAGCCAATACTACATGCACACAAACAACATACCTATATATGCTATGGAGAGAAACATGACAACTGTGAAGAATCAATTTATAGACACATTAGAAGAGTGTGAAAATAAAAAGGCTTCATCAGTGACCTTGCCTCGAGGAAAAACACACAGAAGGTGAAAGTTTCAAACAGCAGAGCATTTTAACATAGATGAAGTTTCAGCTTCCTAGCAGCCAAAATACCATCTGCAGTTTAAGGCACGTTTCCCATAAAAGGTGACAGGTCCCATAAAAGGTGACATTTTAAATGATAGTTGACCAGCCCATCATAGCCTCTATAAATTGTCTGAAAGCAGGAGGATAGCAAAGACCAGTTGACTTCCAAGCATGTTTACAGCTGACAGAAATGTTTCGGCTAAAAACATGCATGACTGTCTCTCTTAGGGAATGTCTTTCTTCAAAAAAAAAAAAAAGTACCAATGTAAACACTGTGCATAGACTGAAGTCTTCAGCAAATTGAGATTATTAGCAATGAGGCTTCCCTAAACTTTCCTGTTCTAATCTAAAAGTAGAATTCTCTTCTAACCCTGTGATCTTATGCATCATACTGTCTGGTCAGTGTGCTTCAAAACATATCTGTTTATGTTTGAAAACACAACAACAAAAAAAATTCCTGATGAAAAAAAGTTTAGTAAAATGGATCATGAACATACAGCACTTAATACCAACCCTGCTACATAGTCAGCACTCAATACATGGCGATTGTTTTCATTGCTGCTATTACCATGACACATCACAGCTCTTCTGTTTCTTAATGGGGAAAAAAGGAAAAACAGCCAAGGCATATATTTTAAATGGAAGTTAGCTCAAATTTTAAAAGATTTCTTACCTTGATGCATAGTTCAAATGTTGCAGTGTTATCCTAAGGAGTTTCAGAGGCTTTGGGTTTTAGTTTGGATCATGAAAGAATATATGGAAGAAGGACTTTTTTCTCTGAGGCAAGGGCCTATACTGGGCAATCAGGAATGAAGTGAGAGATCGACCAAATACGCAGTTCATCTCACCTGTCAGGAGCAGAGCTCAGACCAAACAGCACAAAGAAAACAAGTCTTTAAGTAATTATCTTAAAGAGATGCCACAGGCCCATGGACTTTAAGAATACCTCATGTGGTCATTAAGTGACTGAGTATTATTACTTACCTTACTGTTTGTAACAAACTTGATCATTTGGTTTCTAAGCCAAACCAAAGCAGTAAACTGAGGAGAAACAAGGATTTCTGCCAACAGGCTGAGAGCAAAGGAGGATGCAGGAAAACTGTTTTAAAAATTGACCCAAGAGTTCAAAATGCATATGGAAGCATTTAATGGGGGTGGAAGGTATCCTTGTAATAAGAATACCATGCATGTATTCCCACACTGCTCTTGGTGGTCTGCAAAGTGATTTCATATGTATTTTATGTCAACACCAGCACAATGAGGTAAGTAGGACTATATACCTCAGAGGCATTTGGTGATTTGTCAAGAGTGGTGTGTAGTGTGTTGGTGCCCAGATTTGAATAGGACCATTTGAGTCTGATATCATCATGTTGCCCACTGCCTACTCAGCCTCTACACCCGATGAGGCCAGTCTGCAGCTCAGTACAGTCAATAGAGAACAGGCAATTAACCCTTAAGTTACATGTTAGGAAGATTTCTGTCTAAAGTAGATAAACTTGAAAGTATAACTCTTCAAAATGACTTGTTCCTATGTTGGCAAATATTTTCAAAACTCACAATCAACACATAGATGTATTTATAAGACAGACTACTAGAAGTGGGGATTTTCCCCAAGGAACCAAGCTATAGTGACCAATATCCTTAGTTCTCAAGGATTCTAGAGCACCCCATGTCTCCAGAGATCGATCTTCTCTCTTATTTCTTATATTGTTTGATAATGGGAAACACTAAATCCCCTAATCAGGACCCTGAAAGTGACCCCCTTGAAAAGTAGCCGTCCCTTTTCCACAGAGTGACTTTGAAGACTTTTAGTGGGGAATATCTGGTAGCTTTCCAAGAAAGCCGTTTTATGGCATAGGGAAATGGAAAACAAAACTGTCCCGGCATCCCCATAAAGCAAAATTTCTCTGCACATGAGAGGCTAGGAGGGCCTGGACTTTTCAATCAAGGATGATCCATTAAGCAATCAGATTTTATTTTTTAATTGTTTTGTTTTTCTTTTTTGTTGTCTTGTTTTTCTCTCCTTCGTTCTCCATCCCTTGCTATATCTCGCTCTGTCCTGCTTGCTGTCTCTTCCTACATCAACAGGTGAGAAGCCCCACCAATGCAGCATCTGTTGGCGCTCCTTCTCCTTAAAGGATTACCTTATCAAGCACATGGTGACACACACAGGAGTGAGGGCATACCAGTGTAGTATCTGCAACAAGCGCTTCACCCAGAAGAGCTCCCTCAACGTGCACATGCGCCTCCACCGGGGAGAGAAGTCCTACGAGTGCTACATCTGCAAAAAGAAGTTCTCTCACAAGACCCTCCTGGAGCGACACGTGGCCCTGCACAGTGCCAGCAATGGGACCCCCCCTGCAGGCACACCCCCAGGTGCCCGCGCTGGCCCCCCAGGCGTGGTGGCCTGCACGGAGGGGACCACTTACGTCTGCTCCGTCTGCCCAGCAAAGTTTGACCAAATCGAGCAGTTCAACGACCACATGAGGATGCATGTGTCTGACGGATAAGTAGTATCTTTCTCTCTTTCTTATGAACAAAACAAAACAACAACAAAAAACAAACAAAAAAGCTATGGCACTAGAATTTAAGAAATGTTTTGGTTTCATTTTTACTTTCTGTTTTTGTTTTTGTTTCGTTTCCTTTTGTACTACATGAAGAACTGTTTTTTGCCTGCTGGTACATTACATTTCCGGAGGCTTGGGTGAATAATAGTTTTCCCAGTCTCCCTCGGATGGTGGCCTTAAGGCCTGGTAGTGCTTCAAGAGGTCCACTGGTTGGATCTCTAGCTACTGGCCTCTAAATACAACCCTTCTTTACAAAAAAATCTTTTAAAAAAAAGTAAAAAAAAAAAAAAAAAAAAATTTCCACTTGTGAAGAGCACTACAAAAAATATATAACAAAATCTAAAAGGCCTACTGTCTTTAAGTACACCGCTTGCAGTGTTTCAGTGGACATTTTCACAATTCTGGCCGCTTGGACTTCACAGTAACCAGTTAAAACTGTGGAATATCACTTCTGGTTGAAAACCCAGAGGAAAGGCCCTGCTGTTTTCCACCTACCACGTTGTCTGATTTCATAAAAGGGCTGTGGGGGTGGGAAGGGCAGTGGGTTCGGTGGTGTGGGAAAGAAAGACGAATGGCAGGCTTCTCCCCCGGATTCTGCCCGGGTCCACACACCCTGGCCCACCTTCTCCATATCCCCCTCTTGCAGCAGAAGCCAGGAAGACTTGGACAAGCAACAAGCAACAGTGGCTATCGTATTTATTCAGTGTCTTCGCTGAGCCACAGCCTCAGCACAATCAAGAGGGACTTTCATGAAAGGCAGGAATGCAGATAAAACAAAGATATCAGAAATGTGCACCTATGTTTCTAGGTACAAGAGAAGGATTATTTCCAACAATCTTTGCAAAAAAAAAAAAAAAGTGTCAGGATATATTCTTGTGGAAGAGAAAAAGAAAGAGAAATGGAGGGTGGGGGGGAACAATAAAAAGTTCTTGAGGCTTTTTTAATTCAAAATTTTATAGAGGGGCAAAAGTGACGTTTACCAGATAGAATGCTGATTTTTTTAATATATTTACAACAGTATTTGTGTAAAAAAAAAAACAAAAAAAGTGAAATTGTTAAAAGTAATTTTTTTTCATTTTGGTTTTGCATACACTGCCACCAATTCCTTCTCTTTTATTTTATTTCACACACATATATATATTTTTTGGTAAGTCAAGACTGTTAAGGTTAGCGATACTGCTTCCAGATAGAAAGAATAAAAGGCAACTATAGTTATATTTGAAAGAGAGGAAGGATATTTTCTTCATATTTTTTTTAATTTTTCTTAATTTTTATTATTTTAAGTATTGCCTGGGTTGATGAGGGCCTCTGTGGCCAGCCCATCCCTGCTGTAATTTGAATTGCTGCTTTGTATTTTGATATGTAGTTCTTTGACTTTAGCAAGCTTAAGTTGCCCCACTGAATAATTTTTTTCAACTGATCCATCTAGAATTCTGTTCTTTTTCATGGAAGAGACTTTATCTTTCAGAGATTGCTTGCTTCTCCAAAATTTCATTGAGATCTTACAATTCTAGAATTTCTATTGACTTTACTTTTTTTCTTGGTGAAACACTAGTGGTCTAGAAGTCTTGATAAATGGGGTCTTTTCTTTTGTGATCAGCCAGGAAGAGGAGTTCACAAAACTCTGCCATAGCTCCTCACCCTTCCCAACTGCAAAGAGCATCATTATGAGAAGCCTGTTACAGATCAAGATGCATTGATGCCAAAATTACTTTTTTCCTTTCAAATATCACCTTCTGACTATTTCCACCATGGTTAAGAGGGCTAAATAAGATGATCATTCTTCAGATGACTAATTAACCCTTGCTTCTTAGAGAGGGTTTAGGGAAATTTAAAAATTCCCAGATGCCAACATCCACCACTCAAAAGACCACCAATCTATTGCATCATACCAGATGCCACTCTCTCTTCCTAGTTGGGATTTCTCTCCTCGGTCCTGATCAAGGTATTATAATAGAGATATTTTCATTATAGACAGTGTCCTGAAGGGATTCCAGCTCAAATTTAGGATTTCTTAAACCTAGCTAAAACTCCCAAAGTGATTTCATTGCTGGGCATATTTTAACACACTTAGGGGAAAGCAAATCTTTAAACAAAGCAAAACACCAAACTACAGTTTTAAAAAGAAGAAAGGAGAGAGTATTTTAGTTTCAAAATTACATTACATTTTAATTTAATTTTCCTTCTAATTTTCCTGTCAGCATTTTATTTACAAAAACTGTGCAGCAAACGAGGGAAAATCTTCCAACACAAACAACTCTGTAATGACTAAATTGGTTTTATTCATATATTTCAGACATTTGGTTAACTTGGATCTTTTTCATAAGTTCTTTGTGACGCTTAGTAAGGTTAGTGTAACTGAAGTGTTTGTGAGTTTGATTTGGTCCCACAGTGCTTAATTCAGTGGATATTTTGCTAGAAGTTTTAATGTGCACTTGGGTGGTTAACTGACTATTGAGTATAACCTATTGTGATTTCTAAGAGGAGTCCTACCAAGAACTGTGTGTCCAAAACTGACCTGTTTTAACAGTTAGTAAGGAACAGCTTCCAAAATAAAGTAAGTTCATTTTTCTATTGCTAATTTTGCTGTTTAAAATATCAGTGTTGTAAAACTAATATTTCCACTTACCACCAATAGAGGGAGCATTAGTTAATTAACTATGTCACGGAATTGTTTTGATATTTTGGAAAACAAGTGATTCCACCCATAAAATAAAAAGAGAAGATTGACCTTAAGAAAAAAAACTCAAAGCTAGAAGATAATGACATGAAATCACTCAATACGTGTTACAAATGAAAGAAGGCCAAAAGCCACTTTAAAATATGTTTAACTGTTTAACAGTAGTAGACTTGAAAGTGTCTTTGTTCAAATTTAGCAAAGTAGGAAGAATTTTCACTAATACCTCCTGAAAAGTTGATCTTAGGTGCCATTATGGGCCACATGTAGCTTTCTGTTTCTCAAATCTGAGATAGACCCATTTGCCTTAATGCTGATTTGCCATGTAAAATGCTAAGCAATTGGGTTAGAATCCACCTTTTCTTTTGGTAGAACATGTAGAGAAAAAGCTGCAGGTGACTTGAAACCCTGAGGAGACTATCATGCTTTCCCTCTAAAGGAAGTGTCTCTTTAAAAAAAGTCGGGGGGAGAGGGGGTGGAGGATCCCTAAAGAATTCTTAATGAGGTGATATAATCATTGTAGTCCATGACAAAATGGACCAGCCAGGTTTGTATAGCAGTAGACATATTCCTACTGTATGTTTATCCTTCCCAAACATGTCACATTGTAAAATAGTTGACAAATTATTTTGTGGAAAGAGGAAGAAGCTGGATTGGAGTGGGAGATCTAATCTGGAGGAGCAAAGACGTAGTTGTTTATTGCTATGTTCCTGGCCCATCAAATGGCCACTTTCCAAAGTGACATTTTAGGAAATAAACCAATCTGGACCTGTTTCAAAAGGATGGAGATGCTTTTAGATTGTCAGTTCTCACTTTTAAGTTAAACAATCACAAATACCTTTAGAAATAGGGAAAGACATTTGCTTCAAAATGAGAGAATGAGTGTGGATATTTTTGATTTCTTTTGTTTCAAGTCCTACAGTCATCTTACATTTGGAACTTCATGGTAGGGTGATATCAGTGCTAAAAAAAAAAATTTCTTTCTAGTAGCAAGGAAACAGATAGATAAGATAAAAGCAAATGTTCCAGATTTAAGACTCCTTAGGATGAGTACAAGGAAGAAGAACTAGTATGGAAAGGACACTTTTTAGCAATTTATAATTTTATAATGGAATTTGCCAAACAAGGGAAAGGAGAAAAAGTCAAAGGGGAATTTTTATCTCAAGATATTTAGATATGGTTATAAAAAATAATATTTTCTAGCACTAAAAACATTGGTATTATCTCAGCATCATGGGCAATTTTTCCTTATTAAATGCCAACATATGTACAAAAAAGGCCCCCAACTGTGTGAAATATAATCCTGAAAAAGAAAATAATTGGAATACATGGATCTGATAGAACTCTACACAGGGGGAAAAACTGAGAAACAAGCTAAGCAAAAAAAAAAAAAATCTGAAATGAAAATCTCTGTATCAAAATGGTTTCCTGTATATTTTAATTGAGTGGTAAACTTTAGCTCCTAATAACAGTCTTATAGACTGTTCTCTTCCCAAATTCCTAATGCTTTGAATCTATTTGTGCCATGATTAAGTGTGCTGGATAGTTTCCTGCTCATATTCTAGCCTCAGTTCATTCCTAGTCATCTTAGAGGTCACAGTAGCTCTTGGCCTTAGAAAGACTTGGGTTTGCTGTATTTAAAAGTCATAAGAGTTTTATTTTGCATCACCAAAATATTCTATAAGGTCCAAAAATACTCTCTCTCAACCCATGAACAGTAAGAATTTGTGAATTCTGAAAATGAAAAGAGAAAATTTTCCTCCAGGTATGTTTGTTTCATATTCAATCCTAAAGCCTTGAGCTATATGTACTTCCCTCACACAAGCACACCAGCTGTCTGTGCTCTGCCCGTGCCCAAAACTCAATGTTTTCTCTCAGCACAGAAATCAGAAATGCCGTATGCCCCTTATAAAACCCCTACGATTCCTGAGAAAACATAGTAAAAGCTTATGTCACTTCCTTGTTGGGGCTCCTCCATAATGCTCCCAACACCTGTGACCCCTAGGAAAACAGGGAGCAAGGTAGATCTGGCCAGGAGTCACAGGATATACACCCATTCTGGAGCTTTCCTCTGTTGTTCTAGAAGATGTTATTTGGTTAGTTGGGGCTGGGAGCAGGGGTATATGTTTCTGCGGAAAAGGTATCAGATAATCAAATCAGGTCTGCCTCTGCTATAGCCAGTGTGCTGGTACATCAAAAGGGAACAAAAGGAAGGTGCAACTAAGAGCAGACACAACCCGAGATGCCCTTGAGATTTAGGAGAACAGGAGGGTGCCCTTTCTTTTGTGACCTGACTCTTAAAAGAAATCTTCTAAAAGAATTCTTTAATTTGGTAATGAGTTGAAGTCCAGGGAAATGGAAGCTGTAGGACAGAGAACAAAAGAATTGCAAAATGTATTCAGCACCAAACAATGCTAAACCAAGAAACATCCAATCACAAAACTAGGAAGTTTGGCAAGAAGTGGTTAAGAGAAATCTCTGGGCTTTTCCATGGGTAGGGTCGACAGACTCTCTTTTGAGTGATTTCTGGCTCTGAGAAACCTCTTTACTCACTGGAAAAGAACTTTATTTAAATGGCCAATTTTGTTCCTCAGAAAAAGAAATTAAAAAAAAAAAAGAAAAATAGGACACTGAAGACAGAACCATGTGACTTGGTGACAAACAAAAGGAAGGGTGCACTAGAATTTCAATAGGCTCCCTAATTCCATAGAAAAAGCAAAGCAACCCAATGCCTCCTGAGCCTGCAGTGCATGAAGAGAGTGCTTGAGCTGACCCAGCCACCAGGCTTTGGGGGCTAGACATAACTTCCTACTGGAACAGCAGCAGCCTCTTTCCCCTCTTTGTGTTTTCATGAAGAAAATGGCTGTTCTCTTAGGTACCCAGGAAATAGATTACGTGGGGCAAACTTTCAAAAGCAATCTGTACCTTGGTACTCAGGCTACATATAGAGGCAGAAAAGGGGCATGGAAGAGCCCTTGCTCTTGAGAGAGAATATTTTCATATTCCCAAGGGCTTTCTGTGTAGAGTTGCTATTTCTGATGTCACTTAAACCTTTATAAGAGAAAAGGCTGTGGTGACTCAGTGTTCCTGTAAACTCAGAATGTGGAAATTACTAATCCAAAGCATCGTCTCTAGCACAGAGTATCAAGATGATCTCGCCTGACCAAAATATTCCAAAGACTTTTCTAAGTCTCTGAAGACTTTTTTTTGTCCTTTAACACTGAGTCTATAGCAGTCAGCAGTGTACCTTAGCAGATCCCCAGGAATGGTTGTAGAATAGTAGAGCTTGTTTCCATCCTTTTTAGAGTGAAGAGGTAGAAAATTAGGGCTATGTAGTGTGGGTTCTTTTTCAGAACTGTATAT